GCGTCCTGTGGCTGTCCCCGTGGAGGCCGCAGTGACAGGCAAATCCGGAACCGGATATCATCAAGCATATATATATATATATATATATATATATATATATATATATATATATATGAGCCTCTGGCGTGCTTGCCGCGGACCTCCAGATTGACATGCCTGACATACATCATCGTGTGAGTGATGAGGATAAGTTGGTATTTGTTTGCAACTACCGCTTCTGCTATTATTTCTCATGCGTGTTCATTTGCCGTTCGTTTTAACGACGGCATTTTAATGTTTTCGCTCCATAAGCTACGATCGCCTCCTGTTTATTTCAAGCACCCGAAAACAGCCGTAGCTTTTACTATACTCAGCGCAGCTTCCCTTGACTCGCATGCCTGCTTGTTTGCCACCGACTCACAATCCACCGAATTGAATAATTTGGGGATTGTGAATACAGGGGCTGACACGTCAGCTCCAATGCACATGTGAAGTACGAATATTGATGCTCTCCAGTGATCTCTTACCGATCCACTTTCGAAATGTGCGCGACGCTAACCGGTAAGCCGCTCCACTCGGGTTCTGCATTTATTTCCCTAACGCGCCTAACGGAAATCACTGGCTCTAACCTCGTCTATAACGACATGGTGAATCATTATAATGCTTGTTCTAAGCTTACTCACATTACTCATCGTCGCACTGTGAAACCGAAGATCATATTACACAGAGTGATCCACCCTACGTATAAAGTTTGATCGGTTCTAATCGACTGAGTGACCTTTCACGAACAAAGCCACGCCTGTACACACTCCGAACGCTTCGCTGCCATGCAACCACTGCCAGTCCTGCGTGGTTTAAAGATACTACGTGGTTCGCCCGGTCCCCTACGCAGGCACGAACCCACAACCTCCGGATCACAAGGCAGACGTGCGATCCTTTCCGCCACGGACAGGCTGCTAGTCCCACTTGCATGTTCGTTAACTAAATCGATCTATTCAACCAACTGTTCTACTGCTTTGGATCTACTCGAGGCCTCTTCGCACCTTGTAACCGATTTCGAACTCGTCATAACACAGTCCAGTGAATTATGTTTCACGCACACTGTTGATAGCACTCATGTGTAGGCGAACGTGGTCTTATTTTCGGTGTCGCATTGCAGCGGGTGCAATCACATGTTTGACAAATTCCATTTCCACCGATTTCAATGCAATTTGTTGCTTTGTTCAATCGACACAAAAACTTATCAACATATCAGGAGGCACGTCGGCTTTAGTATGCTCCAGTCTGTACGCCTACACAGCACATTCTCTTTTGCTTCATACGACGACACACTTCCGATGGATCACCATCGATTCACTTCTTCCCTCTGTGGTGACTATTCTTATTATTTGAAGTTCCAGGAAAGCAGGTAGATTTCTACAGTGTTTGTTTTGATTGATCCGCGCATTTGTGTGCAGCATATACCCGGCTAGTGTAAATACAACTTTGATATTGAAAAAAATAGAAACCGATCTACCACTGCGCACACACATTGCTCATTCGATTCACGATTTACTTCAGGACTGGCACCTATTCGGCGACTGGGGTCCTGGTGTGCTTCTTTGCGTCTCACGGCATTCGGTCACTTCGCTGTCTGATCTGTGACGGCTCATTCAATAGGATAGAAGTCGTCCAATAATTGCATCGCTTGAAATCCTCTTGTAATTCAGCGCATGTGCTAGTTGTCAATTATTAGTAGTGCATGAGCTGAAACTGGTCCGAAGTAACTAATCTCTTTTCTTCAACGTGTAGCACTTTGTCTTGTTCTTTATGGACCCGTTTTTTCACGTTTTTAGCGGACATTTTACGGTGCTCTCAGTTGTGTGTCACCATCTCGATACTGGGAAACATTTACTGGAGGTTTATTATACCTAACGGCCTCACATTTACATAATACCGCTTTGATTGATCAACTCTCTCGTTTCTCCTATTCTTAACTTTGTTTTTCATTGATGCTCCCAGCCTCCGGCGGGACAAGTTATATTTTCATCGCTTCCGTCTGTGCCCCTGCTAACTGAAGTCCGGAGGATATGAAAGGCGATTCCTATCGTTTGACGAAAAATACTGACATCGTGATTGTTACTGGTGACATGAATGCCAAAGTAGGTTGCTCTCCGGATTTTGAACAGCACCTGGGAGGCGGCTTCTGGGCCGATGCACGTGGAACAGAAAATGGTGACCGATTTCTGCAACTATGTTCAGATCCCGATCGTTGTACGGTTACGAAACCTGGACCATCAAGTCGACAGACATAATGAGAATTGTTACGATAGATCGTCGCTGCCTTCGCAGCTTAGTTCATGTCTCGTAAGAGAACCGCATGATCAATGAGCGTGTTAGGCGTCGTGTGTTTGATGCAGGAAGAGCGAGTGAACCACTCAGCACCGTTATATCACGGACCAGGCTCCGATGGCTAGGCCACCTGTTGCACACGCCAGCACACCGGTGCCCGCGACGTGCGTTGTTTACGCGACCGGGGTGTAGATGGAAGAGGAGGAGGGAGGTCAAGCGATGACTTGGTCAAGTGGAATGAAAACCGTCACTTCTAAGTTGCCGTCGGTTGGTGTTTCCCGACTGCTGGGTTGGGACCGAAGTACGATAAACATGTCTGGTTTGATGCACTTGTTGACCTCGATAGCGTCTGTGTTGTAAAATTATTTACCCTTCCCCATCTCGTTTATCTTCCTTCTCCAACCACGATATCTTAAGGTATAATGTTACCAAGCATTGTGTTACTTTTTTGTTTTCTATAATGTTTAGTATCACCTTTTTTCTAATATCTTTGCGTATTGCGACGCAAGTAGTTTCAGTGGATTTCTCACCTTCAGCAACTATGTACTGCTGCTGATGATGATGATGAGCAGTGCTTTGCAACACAACTGTTCATACGCGTCACCTGACTCCCCCTGAATTCCTCGATGACCTGAACCCAAATTGACCATGTTACCATGGGGTATAGATGGGGCACATTAGTTCAAAGTTGCCGGTCAATTTGGAGCACATGCCTAGATTCCGATCATATTATAGTGCACGCATGTCTGACGCTGTTCTTGCTTGAAAGAAGTGTCTAATTCATAACCACTTTACTTACACCTTGATCTCGCAGTCTACAGTTCAACAATGTCATGACGAACTGGCCCATTCTTTGTCGGTGATAATTGTGGTTGGTGAGCCGAACGCTGATTAAGATCGTCTCAAGTGTCCCATGTAGAATGCTTTTGACGCTTTCTGCACGCCCAATTTGAGACGTCCGAACTATGAATGGATTTCTGAGGTACCGATCAGTTTGATCGAAGCACGCAAACATGTTCGGTTGGGTACTGAGTTTCACCCTGTCCGTAACACCCTAAAATGACGACTGACATGGAATCTTCGATTTGATCGGGAATGTTGGTGGATGGCAAATCCCGTGACGTAGAGAAAACCAGTGCTATTCCACTTCATCCGGACCACGGGTCCGAGGCCATCAGTTATTGAGACAGTAGTTAAGAGAGATGGACAGTTGGTCTATACCATTTCCGTTTCATGTTAGGCCATGATGGATTCAATTTAGGCTGTAAACATTTCGAATTGCCTTGCTCCCATTTTCCAGTTGGTCCATTCCATAAGTCGGCTGACGTGTCACTAGAAGTGGTAACTCGGCTCACTTATCTTTTTAGCTGTCACCTCTGTCGATCTCATCACTGAGGAGGCTACTTCGTGTATCAGTAAGGCCTGTGTGGCTTTCCAGCGACTCAACCATCTATGAAGACAGCAGGATATTCTTTTTTTCTGGGAAAGCTAAGGCATATAGCAATGCTATAAGGTCGGTGTTGCTGTATCGATCAGAGGCATGGCCAGTTCGCAGTGAATACATTAAACGCTTGGTCGTGTTTGATTACCGGTGATTGCGGAGTGTTCTCACATCTAGTGTGAACACCGGATGAACAGTGCTGAAATCCGCCAGTTGCTTTCTGGTGCCTCTCTATTGTTTGCTTACGCTCAACTGCTTGCGTTTTGACTATGTCATGTCTTCTGTATGCCTGTTGATCGGCTTCCTCTGCGCGCACTATACACCGCTACACTACCAAGTTAGGCATAATTGAGATGTGGCCAGCCCATGATAGGCATAAAGGCATGAAGAAGAAATTGACTGAGAAACCTTGTAGGGCTGATGCATGCCGCATCCGTTATGTTCCCACCAGTGATTGGAGACTGTCAGAAATGGCGCAGTCACGCAGTTTGTGGCGTTCCTGCATTCGGTTCTTTGCATTTAGCTGTTAATTTTCATTCCATTTCGCCTAGTTTACCGCAGTTCCTTTTTTGTTTTGTTTTCTTTACCTTCTATATGCATTCAACTTCATCGTCCTGCCGTTGTTATTGCTTTTCTGACGATGTGAGTTGTGGCAACTGGATCCACCGCACTTCGGTGCCCGGATCATCGTTATTCAATTGAACAGAACGCCCGCGGAGCAGCATCTGATTTACCCGCGGCGGTCTTACAATTTCATTTTATGGTATTTCTCTACTTTGTCACCTTGCGGACAGTGGGGTCTGTAGTGCCCCTGGCTCCAGTTTCCGCTACTTTGTAGGTATAAGTGCCCTGGCAGTATCCAAACCGCCGTGGGATCGTTTGTAATTTCATCAGTACAAACTAATGATGTTTTGCTCATCTCCTTTTCACTTTTCCGATACCCATGAGATTGTTATTTCTATACCCAATCTTTTGGTGACCGCATGCGTTCACTTAACCCACTACTGCTCCTTACTTCACAAAACGTTTAGTAACACTTCTTCTCGTTTGTTAGGAGCCCGCAGGGTGTGGGCTTTTTGTTCCCACCGTTCTTGAAAGTAAGCTGCCTTTTCTTCGGTATTCTGTTATGTTCACTTCCATAGTTCACTACAACCCTGTGTGTGAGCTCTAATCTTGCGACAGACAGCGTCTTTCGCGGTCGGTGAAGTGTAATGATAGCTTACGTATGTCATTTATCGCTTTATTTCAGGATTCCGTTCCCTGTCCGATCCACGCCTTCGGGGTTTCGGACTCTCCTACTTCTCGCATTGCCAACCGCTTGCGAGGCTTTAATGCTGTGCCATCCGGTTCATTCTCGCGGACCACCACCACCACTGCAGGACCATATTCGTTCTGTCAAGGCTCGCACACCATTCATTCACTTTCTCCGGCTGGTGGGCAGCTTGATCCGATTCTGGAGAGTTCCGCAATTTCTCCGGGGGCTTTACGCGACAGCCATTTGATAGAGCCTACGACCCCCACAGACTCGTTACCCCCGAGATGCCACCCGGTAGCCACCTCCACCTCCATTCCACTTGGTAAGTGCAATACCAACCAACAACCACTTCCTATTTTGAAAGTACCCCAATCGCAGATAAGTTTTCCAGCTCACCTCGGAATGCTTACCTCTGGTGGCACGCCAGGCTGCGCACATTTATGGACTTGACTAGTTCGGCTTAACTACATGCACATGCTCACGATTAGTATGGGTTACGGCCAATACTCAGTGTTTTATTTGGGCTGTTTCGGAATGACGTCCAAAAACAGAAGCCCTTTCAACTATAATGTGCTTACAAACGCCCACTCGAACGTATATCCATAGACTGACTTAGATCATTTTATACATTACATTACATTACTACATGCGTGGGGGTGTTTATGCGTGTTCATGACACAGCTGTATTGGACCAGAGTCTACTGCGGGACAGATGCTCTAGGTTCGAAATGGGAATACTTTTCATATATTCGACATTCTCAATCTGCTTGTATGATTGAAGGCTCACGATGAGTCGCTTGGTGACTGATTCACGGGATACCTGAAGACTCGTTGCTCCTTGGCCCATACGCACTTCTAACCGATCAACGTATGTTTTGCTTGTGGAGAACTTCACTGCACGATGTCAACACCTCCTGTCTGTTACACAGGGCAATAAACTTTTTGCAATTTTCTATTACAATAGCTTTTTAAACTGAATCTAAATGAACTTTTAATGCTGATTTCAAATCTGAAACCTGTTTTTTCTGCATGCTCTAGTTTTCATGCATTTGACATTTTACCTAAATAGAAGATTAAATACCAATCCACTTTCGTTTCAGTTATGATCATAACTCACTCAGGTCGACATGAATGTCTAAATGAACCTGATGCATTTTGCTATATATGTGGCTGTTATACACTAGTTCGTCAAAGGAGAAATATCGGTCAGTTTGTAAAATATGCCTATAAAACATACTTCGAAATACCACTTGGTGATCAACATCAATAATGGGCACCGCACATTGTGTGCCATTATTGTGAGGAAATGCTTCGTGACTGGACAAAAGACAAACGCAAAGATCTGCCATTTGGAGTTCCCATGGTTTAGCGACAATCTACGAATCACATAACAGACTGAGATTTGTGCATGGTTAGTACAATAGGTATTGGCAAGCAAAATCGGCTAAAGATCTCTTATCCCAGTATTTCTTCTGCGCTTCGACTCATTCCACACTTTGAAGAGTTTCCGGTTCCAAAATTTAAAAACTGCTTCATCAGATGTGGAAGCTAATGGGCGCGAAGATTTGGCCCAGTTACATGAATAGGCTTCAACATATGAAGGCTCTGCAACTGATACTGAATTTCTATCAGCTCCCAACAACGGTCCTCAAATTCGTGCCCTAGTGCATGCTGAAGAATTTGTCTCAAAGATGAATGCCAGAGATGTGAATGTGTGGCAGTTATACAAAACTTTCTTGGACAAAATAAACCAGTCAGTCATGAGGAACAGGTTAACAGAATGTTGTTGGCATTTCATGATCTTGAATGGTTGTCTTGATCATTTCCCCGTTAACCTTTGGGCAGTAAGTGACGAACAGGGGAAACGTTTTCCTCAACCATGATGACATTGAAAAAATATTATCATGAACGATGAGACAAACACATGAAGCCTGACTATTACTATTATTATTATCATTATTGACTATTGTTGGAGCATCAAGCGTGACTGTTCCAAGAAAACATCTTGACGCAAAAGCTTTAAACGCAAATTCTTGCCCGATTAGGGCCTGTCATGCATCTGGCTTTGTGGTTATCTCATGCCTAATCAAAATGTTTTGTTGAGGATATATGTTTGCATCAACTTATATATTTAAGATACATCGGGTCATAAATCACCGTTGTGAACACTTTCGTTTTAAAAATATGTTTATGGTCAATTTTCCAAAAATCTGTGGTTTAGAGAGAAAAATCATTGCCAGGTTTGAATTCGGCATTGTCGAATTATCTAATAACTGCTATTAGATTGTTTGCAGCCAAATATTGTTGCGCAATGTCATCTCTCGAAATGTAGCTAAAAGGTGTGAAAAGTGACATTTACAGTCAATTTTTAAAAAGAAATCCGTAGCTTACAGAGGAAATGGAATGTCAGATTTGAATTCAGCATGCTCAACTTATAGAAGAACCACTTTTTGTTTCTTTGCACCAAAAGTTTTGTTTCGCACTGTTTTCATCTCTGGAGGTCGATTAAGGATAGGGATCCATCTCCAGCGATTATCCACCAGCATCTAAGGACGATTGCCTTGTGAGCTTAATTTCCTTTCCCGCTCGCTAGATGCACATTACTTGCGGTGTGTTTCTCACCATCGGCTAACCTGTATGATGATGGTGATGATGACTCGCTAGACGCTCTCTTGATCTCTCCACGAAAACTTCCTCAAATGATGTCCCCGATAAGGATCTGGTCACTATCCTGTCAGGTTGGGGTGACTTTCCAGTTTAATACAGTTTTTTTCCATATCCTCACAGGGCCCGATTGTGAATTGCACTCTATTCCACAAGACAGTATCTATGCTTGAGCATGTATTTCCCCGATTTCTATTATTATCATTGTATATGCTTTATTGTTAACGTAAAAAATCTGTGTAGACCCTTTTGTATGTCTTACTGCATAAATGGTATCTGTCTATTTCAAACACCTTCACCATAGAGATTAGAGCTGAAAGCGATGAGAACTCTCTCGATAGCTTGTGGTAGATATCTTGCTATCCAAACTTTCGGTGATAGCTTCTGTAGGTTTCCTCCAGTTTTTTGTTGCTACCTCGCATTCTTCCACTATTCCAGCATAGGACGAAAAGGAATTTCTATAGGATCAACTCGGGTGAGGATTATATGGAGTCTGGTGGGTATGTTAGCCCCATACAGTTTGGTCCTCGTCAATTGAAGCTGAAAGAATCCATAATTTCGTATACCCAACCTCCTTCGTTGTCGATTCCCATATACCTGTCAGCGATTTGAGTAGTAGTCGAGTATCTTATCATCCACACTTTTTATTATTTCTCAAGTGACTTGATACTTTGATCATAAGTAAACGACACTGTGCCCATCTCCTCGATGATTACAGTGTCCTGCTGTGTATGAGACATATTGATGTCTTTGTCATTGAGGGTGGCACCGTGAGACCGAGTACTCTTCCCAGAGTGACACCACTGTAACTTAGACGATGGAAACGGTAACGGTCTTTTAAAATATTTATTTGGGAATGGCCACTCAGGTGTGACAATTTTCAACGTAGTGATGGTCTCGACTCCAAATGACTTCATGTTTTCCGTAATCCGCTTGTAGAGCACCCAAACGAATTCTTTTTGCATGTCCATAAATGCAAATACTACTTTATAGTTGGTTGGCAGATTCTGAAGCGTAGTTTAGATATGCGATTGACTGGTTGTGCAGGCTCTTGAGTGCCCATCGGGTTCACGTGGCGATAGACTTCTCTCGGTATTGGATTAGCTAGTGTTATATGCCGCCTACATCTTGGTCGCGCCCACCTGATCGGCTCACTAGACTAATGCGACCCAAACGGTTACATTTGGGTGCTGGCATTACCCTTACGTTATGACCCTTTGACCTCCTTAGGGACCTTTTGACCTTATTAATTTAGGTCACCCTTGGCATGGTACAAAGATTTTCAGTATTACCTACTATTTTCTCACACACCCTCACTATCGATCCACAAGCATTGGAGCTCATGCACCTGGTTTATCTGACGGTAGTAACTTTCCATGCTGTTTCACGGACACCGGTCATCACCACCTAGCTTGCTTTTCTCTCTACTGGTGAGTATAGATCACCACTTGTTCTTTTGACCATTGTTGTATTGGCAGGCAAATGTCATCCTCTAATTTGGGAAATACTTCGGACCCATTACCATTATTTAGGTTATTTTACTAACCTCAAGGGTCACACTGTATTACACCCGCGACCCATGTCTCTCCCGTCATTCATTTTTTCTTTCAGCAAGCGCCTCCACCAATTTCAGTAGTCTGAACTCCCCCAATCGTCTGTCTGGTTTTGGAAGGTCTTCCAGGGCGTTCACACAACGCAGTCCAACGAAACAAGTACCAAGCTCCTCCGGTACCGGTGACTTTGCAATCGCCTCCGCATCATCATCCACTTTTGCGTCGAACTCCAATGGCTCGGCGTCCCCCATCCGTATCCCTCCTTCTGATCCCCACCTTCCCGCTGTCCTTGTTTCCTCCGCGAACCTACCAGATTCGCCGTCACGTATTGCGGAGCTTCAGGAGAGTCGGTCATTTTTCCAGAGGAGCATGCTGGAGTTACGTAGGGTATGTTGCTCAAAAACTTTCAAGGTGCTAACCATGATCCGAGCACCTAAATGCGATTGTTTCAGTTATTTTGGTAATATTAATCAACACCTGACAGTGGCCGGAGGGATGAGGCGTCTGCGCCTTGTAACCCCCAAAGTTCCTCGTTTGGAATCTGCGTAGGAGCTGGCGACTTTGCACTATCCCTAGATGGCGCGTGACAACGAAGCGTAATGGTGCTACCTTTTTTTCTTTTTGTTGTAATTGAGGCATTAATGAAGAAAAACAGACAAAACGGGAATACGAAAGAGTGGTCCTCGTTTCTTGTGAAGGTTAACAACCAGGATTAACAAATCAGGCGCAACAGCGTCATTGATTTCACACTTGCACCACGTCGTATAGCGTCCACAATGTTTCTCGTGACCGATCCCAACTTTCCTGTTCAGGAAGTCCACATGCACCGGTTCGACCAAGGATTTCGGTCGTTCTGGTGCGCGCTGCGGCTTACTCAGTCAGGTGCTTTGTCAACAGATACCACATGTCCAGACGGATGCTAGGCAGACATTCCTCGGCCATTACCTAACCACTTTAGGTGCTTTGAATTCAAAGAGCGTTTCAGTGTTGTGACAGCTGGATTGTTGCCAAACGTCAACCGGGGGACTTCAGAACTGCTTACTCGGTGGTCCTACCAAATACGGATAATGCAACCGATGCCTTCAGTGTACAGCAGCCATGTGTCTGATCCGTAATGCAAGACGCCACGCTGCAGCGTAAGTCGTCCATCTCTAGTCAGTTACTTCCGATTTGTCTTAGTATGTCTTCGCACGACTTATTTAATAGATGTTCTGGTGAGCCTCTATTTAGCAACTTTGTTTTGTCCTAGTGTGATTCTGCCTAGTCAACTCACTATGCTCTGATGTACCAGTGCGAGCTTGGGCTTGGCTACTCAGATTTGCAGGCATACCTCGTGCCTTACACATCTCGAAGCGTTAAATGTGTTCTCTGCCATCCGATTCAGCGAGAGTCAGCTTTTATCCGGAAGGAGTTATTTATCCTCTGCCTACTCCTTAGAGTCATCCACCATAGCGTTAATGCCATATGAAACACCCATGAAAAAGACTTTTCGTGGTAATTCTGTCATGAAACCAAAGAGGCAACATAAAAGAGAACCACTCAGGAGAAGCTTACCTTACAACGCTTCGGGAGTTGTCTCATCGAGGTTTCGATATTGAGTGGTATTACTAGATTTCTATTTTCCGCGACACAGTCAAATGAAGTCATTGGGGCTCTAAACCTATGGAAGCTAACTCACCGCGTTTTTTGTTGCTGGAGCGACTGGCATTTTCTGAATATAAGGTCGACACGTTCCCTTCGGCCGCAGGTTTACTTACTCTACGTTGGATCGACTGTCTGCTGAGCTGTCAGAGATCGATGATCGCTAGTAGTCCGGAAGCAATAGCAATACGACTAATGTCTTGTGGATCTTCACACACAGTTCTTCAGCAGCTTTTAACTGAATTGACGTCTGACAGCCACCGATTCTATTACTGGAAAATATTGTCAACATGTCGGTTACATCACTCTTGGTTACTCTGAGAGTATGATAATGATTATCACGACACGACTTCATTCCGCCTCGGTGATGTCATACCGCGTCTGCTGTCCTCTTTGGTGGTTTGTTGAGGTGACATGTCTTGTGGATCTCCGCATTTGAGGCAGCCCGGAATCGCAATCCAAGAGATCGTTGTTGATATTCAGTTCGAGACCTGAACATCCTTGTTCCGTTTTCCACGTTCGTGTTCGGTAGCAGCACCGAGTTCACAGTGATACTGTTAAACATCGCGTCCTGGGGGACTGCGCGTATTCCTTTCAACAAGCGTGTTTCGCTGTACCATGGCTCGGTCACGTCCTACGCATGGCACATGCGCGTTTACTGCACCGCGCAGTACCAGGCTGGAGGTGACCATGTGGTGGTCAGCCTTCCACTTGGCGACAGCACATGAAACCGCTGACGTCAAGTCTAGCAGCCGTTGGACTCGTACCTCTTCCTGGATGAGGACCTAAAGGTGAGGAGTACCAGTGGCTTAACACGTTTGAAGACATGGCTCGTAACTGGAGTCAGTGTAAGAACTGTGTACAGAATTGCATCGACTCACGTGTTTAATACATCAAACATGGAAGATGACAAAAAGAAGCAAAAAATCGACGTTTGAAAAACTACAAATGTTTCATTCTATTTTTGCCCAACTTGTACTTCTATTTGAATCCCATGGGTTTTTCGGTGGCTGCATGTCCGTATCTTGGATTCTTGATTGCATAGGATGAAGCAACATCTGCTACGGAACGGCTTTGGATCGGCCACCGCTATCAGTGGCTTCGTTTGTCACATCATCGGCTCCAACCTCGTGTGCCCTCCTTTGTCATGACTTCAGAAGGTCGCAGACAGGGTGGGAGTGATTTGTTTCTTGGATTAATACCATTTTTCGTAGTGAGTAACCGTAGACGAGTTTCTATTTCCGTTAGGATTCTAGTTTGTCGTGTACCAAATTGTTATCGCGTCTCGCAACACAGACATGCGGCGTGCGATTCAAATCCAAAATGAGTTCTTTACTAGCGTGTTAAGCGCTGTTTGCGGTGCTTCTTATTCAGCGGTCAAGGCATCCGTTGGAAAATCTTTTCGCTCCAAGTTCCAGTTTCAGCTGTGACTCTCTAGTTAAATGTCCAGGTGAGGACAGAGCGGGTGGCGAAGTGCAGTGTGGGGTGCAAGCGCTGACATCATCGTCATTATGCACGTTAGCTGCAGGTGGGAAACACCAGCTATTGTGCCGCAATACACGACAAGTGAAAAAATACGCAACACAGGCATGCCCGATGAGCCAACAGTGACGGATGGACATCGTTCCTGAGAGCTAGCAGCCGACTATTGTGCCTCAGAAATGAGATCATGGTTGGAAGGGACGGACAAAGAAACGCGCAACGCAAATGCAACTGAGGTCCACTCCTATCCATGTCAACAAGTCTATCGAGCCAAATGTGTTCATCGTCTTCCTTGACCCAACCAGGGAGCCGTACGGTCTCAACCGTGGCCAACATCGAAGTGAGGGCCTTCATTCCTCTTTACCATGTCGTCAGCTGGCATCCCTTCCTCTTCTTCCATCCACACCCTGGTCACGCAAACTATGCACGTCGCAGGAGTCTGTGTGCTGATACGCGCAACACGTGGCTGAGCTATCGGTGCCTGGTGCGTGATCTAACGATGCAGAGCGATTCACTTCCCTTTCCTGGGCCATAAACAAGGCGTCGAACACGCTCATTGCTCACGCGCAGTTCCCATCAGACGTGGCCCAAACTGCGAACGCACCGGTGGTCGAACGTAACTAGCCTCTTTATGTCTGTGGATCTAATGGGCTAGGTTTCACAACCGTAACGGAGAGTTGAACGGACGGCTGCGTTGTACACTTTACTCTTCATAGCAAGAGTGCTATCGCGCCGATGCCATATGTGGCGAAGGTTAGCAAAGGCGCCTCGAGTTTTTAATATATAGTTTGTGACCTTGTCTTCGATTACACAGGCGCTGATACAAGTGCCTAGGTAGTTGTACTTCTGACCGACTTCTAACTGATCCTCACTAAGGGTCAGCGTGGGAAGCGGTCCCTGCCAATCTTGCAAAAAAGCTTTGTAATTTGAGGGTTGAAAGCGTAGCCCGAAACGGTTGACAGTCAGTGCTAATCTGTCCAGTGACGTTTGGCACGTTTGTGAGCTGTCAGATTAGGGCAATATCATCAGTATACTCTAAGTCAAGAAATCGTTCAGCTAGGAGCAACTCCACACCTTGTAGGTCGTGTCCACTGAACGCGATTTCCATGACTTCATCAATGGCGAAGTTAAAGAGGAAACAGGACCGTAGACATCCTTATCTTACGCTGCTGTAGATATTACATGGTGACGACAGCTTGCCGTAAGCCCTCACTCTGCCCGAGCTATTCGTCTACATAGCTTTGATAATATTTACATATTTCTAGGGTACACCCTTCCTTAGCAGATAGTCTCTAAGATCATATCGAATCGCAAGCAACTTTGATGTGTACAAACACGTCAATGGTAGGCCACCGATTTATGTGACGGTGCTCCAACAATTACCGTAAAGTGAAGTTGTGATCGGTGTACTCCCGACCTGGACGAAACCCGGCTTGCTCCTCACGAATCTGGCCTTCATGGGTGCCAGTCAGTTTGTAGAGAACGACAGAGGTAAGCAATTTAGATGCACTTATGATCAGCCTGATTCCTCTATGGTAGCCGCATTCCGAACATGAGCCTCCCTTCAAGATGGAGGCAATAACAGAGTGGCTCCAGTTTGTTGGGACATTTTTCTGTTCCCAGTTTTACTAGCAGGTCGGCGCATACAAATGTGTGATCAGAGCCCACGCTCGTGCTGCAAATCAGCCAACAGTTTTGGACACAGCCTTTCCAGTGGTAACTAATGACAATGTGAGTACTTAGCGTCCATGGCCAGTTGGCGCGTTTCACTCTTCCACAAGTGCTGTGTCGAAAGTTAGCGCCTACAAAAAATGGATGGGTCTAGCATCCGCTCGTTGTTATCATTACGGCTGCCTACACCGTGTTGACCACCCAGTTGAAGCTCATCAGTGGACAACTTTCCAACTTGGGCGTTTAAATCAACAGTCATGACCACAGTATTCGCGCCCCTTCTGAGACGAACGTGCTCATCGAGTCAGCGTTACATTTTTCTAAGCGCGTAGGCCGCATTGACAAACAAGCACCATTTGGCCCACGCATCTTCGATGCTTTGAACGAGCCGGCCAATCTGACAGCGTATAGCTGACTGTTCATTGGGATCCAATCTATCAGGGCAGCTTCAGCTCGGGGGCTCAAAGCAATGTCCATCCCGATCTGATTAGCATTTAAAGCTGCATCATCTCTGGACAAGTGCATGAGAACATACCGCCAATGTCGCACGTTGGGCATTGCAGGGTAATAACAGAACTCGAATCTTGTAAGCGGGTTTCTGATAGGCAGTACATATCGAATGATACGGTCCCTATTGTCCGAGCAAGTGCTGCTTGTTGGCCAATATGCGACAGAGTGCGCACATTGAGGCATGCCAGTATAAGGGAGGATCGAGGGCTCCAAACAGAAGCAGATGAACTAACGTTGCCCTTCTGGCTGTACATGGACTTGTCGAGCGCAATGGAGCGATACCCTGTGACTACGTGTGTGTTGAGACTGGAAGACAAATGCTTATCAAAGTAAGAAGGGAGATGAGTTGTTGAAAACGGGAGATAAATTGAAGCTGGAACGGGACGATAAGGGTGAAAAATGGTAAGAGGATGATGAAGAGGAAGACGAGAAGGCCTGAGTAGTGGCATTCAAACAACTAACCACCCTCATCATTCCTCATTATACACGTTAGCTAGAGGTGGGAAACACCTCTGCTACTGTGCCGCAATACATAGCAGAAAAAATGATAAAGGATGCAACAGGTGCAAGCCAGCTGAGCTACCAGCAACGAATGGGCATCGTTCCGGTAAGCTACCAGCCGGCTGCTAGGCAACAAGGAAAATTATTAGGCAAAATTATATTACGCTACGAAATGAGATCGTGCTTGGAGGGGAAGGCTAAAAAAGATGGAGTAGGGCCAAAGAAACTCACAGCACGAACGCCACTGAGGTCGACTCCTGGCCATGTCAGCAAGTGTATCTAGCCAAACGTGTTCATCGTCTTTTGGACCCCAACCAGGGAGCCGTGACGCTCCAACGGAGGCCAGCTTCGAAGTGAGGGCCTTCATTCCTCTCAACCAAGTAATCGCTTGGCCACCTCTCCTCTTCTTCCATCCACACCCCCGCGCGCAAACAACGCACGTCGCGGGAGTCGATGGGCTGACATGCGTAACATGTGGCCGAGCCATCGGAGCCTAATGCGTGAAATGACGGTGCTGAGCGGTCCAGTTCCTTTTCCTGTGCCGTAAACAAGGCGTCGAACACGCACGTTGCTTACTCGCTATTCCCACTAGATGTGTGTTAAATTGCGAAGGCACCGTTCGTCGAACGTAACTAGCCGCTTTATGTTCGCTGATCTAAGTGGCCAGGTTTCACAACCGTACAATAGGATCGAACGTACCGCTGCATTGTACACTCTACCCTTCATAGCGGGAGTGATGTCGCGCTGACGCCATAATTGGCGAAGTTTAACAGAAGCGCCTCGGGTTTTTGCTATACGGTTCGTGATCTCATCTTCAGTCCCACGGGCGCTGATACAACTTCCCAGGTAGTTGAATTTTTGAACGACTTCCAGCTGATCCCCACCAAGGGTCAGCGTAGGGGGCGGTACAGGCCAATCTTATAGGAACGCATTGTACTTCGAGGGTGCGAAGCAAAGCCCGAAGTGACGGACAGCCAGTGCCAATCTGTCCAGTGACGTTTGGCACGTTTGTGAGCTGTCACAGATTAGTGCAATATCATCAGCATACTCTAAGTCAAGAAGTCGTTCTCCTGGGAGCAGATCCACACCTTCTAAGTCGTGTCCTGTAAGCGCGATTTCCATGACTTCTTCAATAGCGAAGTTGAAGAGGAAAGGTGACAGCGGGCATCCTTGTCTCACACCGCTGGAAATAGTAAAAGACGACGACAGCTTGCCATAAGTCCTCAGTCTGCCCGACCTACGCGCATATAATGCTGGGACAATATTTGCATATTTCTCAGGTACACCTTTCCTGAGTAGACAGTCCTAAAGTGCACGTCTATCCACCGAATCGAATGCACCTTTGACATCGAGGAACACGACAACGGTGGGCCGCCAATATATGTGACAGTGCTCCAACAGCTGACGAAAGTGAAGATGTGGTCAATACAAACATGGCCTCGAGAAAACCCGGTTTGTTTTTCACGAATATGGTTTTCACAAATGCCAATCAGACTGTGGAGGATTGCAGAGGCTGGCAATTTTGAGGGGATGGAGATCAGACTGATTCCTCTATGGTTGCCGCATTCCGATCGTGAGCCTCCCTTGAAAATTGGGACTATGACGGTGCGGCTCCAGTCGGTTTGGGACAGTTTACTGCTCCCACAGTTTCACTGGTAACTCGTGTAAATCATCCACAAGAGCAGGTCTTCCGAATTTGTAGAGTGCTGGGGAAAGATCATCTGGTCCCGTGGCTTTATTTAACTTC